TTTTTTTCTTTTTTTCTTTTTTTCTCACTCTAAATAGGTGCATGCCACAATTTTCATCCATTTGACGGGAAATGTAATAGCAACATTGTAGTTCAAAACCATGAAGAAGGTATGTGGCTAATTTTAAAAGATAGGAGGTTAAATACTATTAACCAAACCTGGAGGGGTGTATAAAAAAAAAAAAAAAAAAAAAAAAAAGAAGTAAATGATTAGTGTGTTTTACATTTTTTAACTCTTATTAATTATAAGTCATTATCTATAATATACCATATTATTTCTCATTTTTATTAATTTTGTATTTTCTAAACTTACAAAATTAACATATTCTCAACCACTCATGCCATCTCTACCATTTATTTTGTCTTGATATGATACAAGTAGGGATGTAAATCTGGCCTAACCCACGACACATCCGAAACCAGTCGGTGGCTTAGTGCGGTCTGAGTTGTTTATTTTGAAGCCTGACCTGAGCCCAGCTCATGGCCCAGCTTGATAGGCCCGATTTTTTTTTTCATTTTAATATGTATAAAATTATTCATTTCATTTTATTTTTTTAGGGAAAAACTATGTGCGCACTTTATAATCAAATAAAAAAAATGACATAATTTCATACTTTTTGAGTCATAATTATAAAAATAACATAACTAAATATTGCATTATTCATAACTAAAATAATATCATAATTTAAGAAGAAAATTAATATTAACTAAAGTAAAAAATGACATAATTCAATACTTAGTCATAACTAAAATAAAAAAAAGTAAGTCATAACTAAATATCACACGAGACATAACCAAATAGCTCTCATGAAGCATAACTAAAATAATGTCATAACAAAAGTAAAAAATTACATAACTTTATACGATATGAAACATAATTAAATATCTCATTAATCATAATAAAAAAAGTATAGTATAATTTTTCTTTTGCTTTTTATCTCTTATAAATAATCTATATATAATATATTTATCAATTATTTTTTTCAAAAGAAGGCCCGCCAGGCCCGGCCAGGGCTTAGGCCTGCGGGCCTGTTTTAAGTTGGCTTGGGCTTAGCCTACACTTTTGCCACGTGGGTCAGTCCGAACCGACTCAAATTTCGACAAGAGTCTGCATGGCCCCACAGTGGGCCAGTTTGACCCAAAATTACACCACTTGATACAAGAAAAGAGTGCAACACTACAAATCAGACAGCTCTGCGTATTCTCATTTAATGATACATATTTTACATGAGTTTTTTTTTTTTTTGAAACTCTCATAATTTTCTTTAGATCTTAATCATTGATGGTGCAAGTTTCACACATATATAAGTAGGTCCCATATATATGTCAATAGTTGAAATTCAAAAAAAGTTATAGAGATCTCCAAGAAAAAGAAAATTCTAAGTATTTTTCTTTTACACACCTAAATACAAGATAGGAGTGGAACACTTCAAATCAACCCGCTTCGCTCATTCTCATTTAATGATACATATTTAATCCCTTGAATCCAAATGATAAGTAATACTAGAAATTTTAAATGTTTTATCAAATATTTTATCAAATGTCTTAGATGAGTGTGAGATTTACATGGGACCCACATGATGTGGGTCTCACACCTATATAAGACATTTGCTAAAACATTTAATAAAGCATTTAGGATTCTTAACATTTTTCTCCAAATGATGCCAAAACCTAACCCAAAAATGCAAGAGGCCCCAAAATTTCTACCAAAAGTTTTATCAAATGTCTCACATGGGTGTGGGACCCACATGGGACCCACCTTATGTGGGTCCCACACTCATGTGAGACATTTGGTAAAACTTTTGATAAAATATTTGAGGTCTCTAGCATTACTCAACCTAACCACGTAAATTAACGTCTAATGAAGGTCTGAAATCTGGCATCCACATATGCTGATTGGTGTGTTCTTCCTAAATTTAAAAGGAGAAATTGTACTATATAAACATCACACTAATAAAAATAAAAATTAATATCATATATATCTCCACTTTAAGTCATTACATCTAAAAAATAAATTTGAACCACTGCTTACATTAGACCGTCATTAATACTATTTTAGAATGGTAACCAAATTTAGGAAAATTATTCAATATTCTTAGAGCATCATGTGTATGTACTCACTAACCAATCATCATTCAATATGTCCTTTTCATGTTTCTCAATCACCCAACACAATACCCCACCTACTCACATTATTTACCAATCATAATACTATAAAATACTACGTATCCAAACTCTGAGATTACTGAATAATTATTCACAAATTTAGAACAATGGGCCGGTAATCACTACCATTTTGAAATATAACTACACACCACAATCACTAATAATTAATTTTAATTTAACAATAAAAACAATATGTTTTCATATTTTTATACAACATTTTATACCAAAATAATGTAATAGTACTATTTTGATAATTAAAAACATTTCAATAAACTATTTGTCTTAGGATATACATCTTTACTCATTAAATTAATCATATTTGATACCATGGACCCAAATGATGCCAAAACCTAACCACATAAATTAATGTCTGATAAAGTCTGATATGTGGCAGCGACATATGTTGATTTGTGTGTGGTTCATAAATTCAAAAAGAGAAAATATACTATACACATCACATAAAAAAGTTATGTACCACATATTTCCCTACTTTTAGCCATTGGATCAACAACAAAGGAAAATAATAATAATAATAATAAATTTTTTGAACCGTTGATCTTTCTTGCATTTGGTTGTACATAACAACACTATTTTAAAATATAATCAAACAATATTTTTATCGTAATCAAATCTATTAAAATGGAGAATTAACAAATATTACTTTGGGTAATAACCAACTTTAATTTGATAATTTGTTAACAACATCATTACAATTACTAATAACTAAACATTACGTAATAGTTGATAATCAACACTAATTTAAATCGTAACTTATATGTGATAAGCAAAGTTTGTATTGTAGCATGACTCATTTAAAATGAAATGGGATTGTCTCTAGTTGACTTTCATAAAATTCATTTCGATAATTTAAATCGTTTATTTTGCAGAGTCATTTGAGTAAATCATTCATGTAAAAATCAAATTTATTCGACAAACCCAACCTCATAATCAAAGCACATTTGTTCTTAAAAAAAAAATAGATGATCAATATGATTTTGAGAATAGTCCATCCCCTATTTTGAAAACAAATATGATTTGTTCATAAGATTACGATTATCTGATCAATTTGATCTTTTGCATCGATGATCTATTCACAAGATCTTACAAAATGAATAATTTAAGAGTTCATTTGGGATGCAGATTGACTTTTTGATTTTTTGACTTTTTAACTTAGGGCTAAAACTCTCGTTTGAGATAGGTTTTTTAGCTTTTTAAACTTTTGTGAGAGAAAAAATGAAATGATTATAGGTTTAATGCGATATTTTACCTTATTTAGCTAAAATAATTTATTTTGTGTTATATGAATATTTTAACCCAAACACTTATCCTAAACGGGGCCTAAATCATTAAAGTATATCCCATAATAAAACCCACCAAAACTCAATCTAGTTGGCCAAACCGATCATAGTGGATTCCATCATTTTTAAAATTAAAAAATGAAAACAAATTGGCGTTACTTTCAACATTAAATGATTGTGACATGTAAAGGATCCTTTGGTATTATAAATTGGTATAGAGCAATGCAATAGAGACCACCCCATCAATCCATCCTTCATAGTTTCATAATATATTTCATTTTTTCAGACACTAATCTCTAAGAGTGTGAGGACTCAAATCATGGCCACCCTCATTGTTCATGAGAACTCTTCTCCTGTTGCAGATGCAGAAGCTATCAGAAAGGCTGTTAAAGGTTAGAGATCCATCTTCCCATCTATCTATCTATGTATATTTTAATTTGTATGTAGATGGTTTTGTTCTGATTTTTAATTAATAATGTGATAATTCTAACAGCATTGATCAAATTTTGTAACAGTTCATCCACTTTTGCCATCACCAATTCAGTGTCAAAATCGATTTACAACTCATTATTTGGATTATGTTTTTTTTCTTTCTTTCTTATCTTTCTTCATTTTCATGTTGTTCTTTGTTTCACTTGTGGGATTTGTGAAGGAGAAATTTTAAAAATAGTAAACTGATGGATTCAAATAGATCCGAAATGTTTTTTTTTTTTTTTTCTCACTCATTTTTTTAAAATTGAGTAAAAAATATGAATTTTTAATTTCAAAAATCTCAAAAGAGATCTTCATAATCTTATTAAATAAGGCAGATCAATGTAATCTACCCATGGAAAAAATATGAATTTTTAATTTCAAAAATCTCAAAGGAGATTTTCATAATCTTATTAAATAAGGAAGATTAATGTAATCTACCCATGGACAAAATAAGAATTTTGTAAGAATTGAATGCTTACCTCCAACGATTTCCATTCATCTCCCAACAAAAAATTGACCAAAGTGGGAATATGAAACCAACAATTAAAGCAAAGTAACGTCAGTAGGTATTTGTATAATTTCATTACGTTTCAGGGGCATTAATGTAATTTTCTCAACCAAAAAAAAAAGAAGATAAAAATATGAGAATATTTTAGTCATTTTATTTTACATGAAACTAACAAGTGCTATAATATAAATATATATATTTTTTAATTTTTTTTCAGGATTTGGGACTAATGAGAAGGCGATAATTAAAATTATTGGTCACAGAAATGCAATTCAAAGGAGGCAACTGAGGCAAGCTTATGAGGAGAGTTATCAAGACGATTTAATCAAGCGTTTTGTATCTGAGCTCACTGGCAACTTTGAGGTTATTTAATCAATTAGTGTATGAATTAGTATACTAACATATATTATGATATTATTACTGATTTCACTCATTACACAAATTATAAATATTCAAAAATTTTAAAATTATATCGCATCATCTGTTAATGTATTAATTGATATACTAATTGATGCATATAGCATTATTTTTTAATAATTATTAACTATTATCTCTGTTATTATATATTTTTAATCTTTTAATCCCTTGAACCAATAAAATTATTACAGCCAACATGTATATAATTATTGATTTTGGGATTGCTTGTGTGTGTCTATCACACATGAAATATACAAATTGATCTCACTTATTTGTTAATGTTTTTGTGATTTGATTCTTTTGTTAATTTAATATCGCTTTAATTGTATCAAATTAATTTTTTACATTGTGAATTTAATCCAATTAAATATATCAATTTCAAAATTAAATAAAATTCAATAGCAAAATGATTTATTCATAATAAATAAATCATGTGAAATTGGATGTCAATCCTTCAATCACATTGAGTAGAGTGAATAAATTATTTTGCCATCTAATCTAATTTTTAAATGAATTTGATCAATTAGATAACACAATATTAAAAATGTTGTGACTTTCCCCGTATAGTTCCACGCTGGTTTTCATCTTCCCACCATGCCCTAATTATATTTATTAAACTTATTTATACATAAGTCTTTTTTGGGGGGGAGGGGAAATTATTAAAAAAAACAAGAGTTTTCACCCTTATAATAAAATGAATTCTAAATTTTTAATTTTGTCAATATAAACATCCTAATTTTTTGATTTATTTTCAATTTAAACCACCATTTTATTTTTGTTATCAAAAGAAAAAAAATAGTATGTTACTTATTTAACTTAGTTTGCAT